TTTTTCTTTTTTTTTTTTTTTTTTTTTTTTTTTTTTTTTTTTTTGGTACCTTGGGTCAAACTCTGAACCTTGTGCTTGTGAGGCAGGCAATGGAACCACTGAGCTAAATCCCCAGCCTTATCATCTCTATTTTGATCATCTTGATTTTTATTTTATTTTATTTTATTTATTTGTGCCAGGGATCAAACTTGGAACCTTGTGCTTATGAAGCAGGCAGCAGCACCACTCAGCTGAATCTCTGGCCCTTGATTTTGAATTTAAATTCTAAAATGGAAGGAAAGCAAAAAGGAGAACAAAAGGGAAGAGGGAGAGAGAGTTGTGGAGCCTTGAATGTGTTTATTGCTCAGATGAAACAGGGCTCCCAATTCCCACTAGCTTCTCTAGCCCACTGAGACTTTCTCTCAGGAGTGTTACATCCTTATGTCCCTTTGCCTTGCCTCAGATGTCACTGAAATTGTTGATGGGTGAGGGTCACGCCTGTTTTTTGTAAAGCTGGTATTAGCTTGTTTCGGGTAGAGCTATTTTTAAAAGGGTACATATATGTGGAGGTTGAAGGTCCACAAAACAGCTCCTTTAAAAATATCTAAAACTCAGGGCTGGGGATTTAGCTCAGCAGCACTGTGCCTGCTTCGTAAGTACAAGGTCCGGTGTTCAATCCCCAGTACCAAAAAAAAAAAGTTCTAAAGCTCATATAAAAGAAACCATGCAGTATTTAAGCTTCTGTGTTTGATTTATTTCACTTAACGTTATGATCTCACGGTACCTCAGTTTTCCTACAAATGATTCAATTTTACCTTTCTCTACAGCAGAGTAGTACTCCATTGTGTGTAAATACCACATTACTTTACCCGTTCATTTGTTGATAGACATATAGCCTGCTTTGAAGATTTAGCTGTTGTGAATTATGCTACTATAAATATGGGCATGGAAGTGTCACTGGGGATCAAGAGATCCTGCAAAGAATGAAAAAGGGAATTAAAATGCATTATATACATGTACCAACTCCACACAAAGAATGTAAACATTATGTACTGCAAATATGTGCTCTACTAATGAAAAGTCTGAAACTGTGTATCCTTAGAAGTCTTGGAGTACTCTGGAAGTATACATTCCCCAGCTGAAGTTCACATGCAATCCTAGACCAGGAACTGTGTAATTAACTGCCTTCTAGGTCCAAGCAAGAAACATCAAAGCATGGAGCCAGCTAGATACTTGAGAGACAGGGGTAGTAAAGAGGGAGTAGAGTGTGAGAACAGTTCTGAGTTTCTAAAGATTTATGGCTGAAGGTGTAGCTCAGTGGTAAAGCTCTTGCCTAACCTGCACGAAGCCCCAGGTTCCATCCCTAGCATTATACACACACAAAATTGTTGCACCTTCTGGATATTGTGGCATTCACCTGTAATCCCAGCAACTCGGGAGGCTGAGGCATGAGGATCATTTGAGCCCAGGAATTTAGGACCAGCCTCGGAAACATAGTAAGACCCCTATCTCTTAAAAATTAGAAAGAGGGCCTCCCCTCCATAGCCATACAGAGTAATTTTGTATTTAGAAAACCGTCATGAGTTTCCCCACCAGCTTTTCTGTTTTGCAAGCTAAACATTCTTGCTGTGTCAACTGTTCCTCATCAGATGTGGTTGCTAAGACTTTTCACTTTCCATTAAGAATATTTGCCTCCATCATAATGTTAAGTGAAAAAAATCAGACACACAAGCTTAAATATCTCATGGCTTCTCTTATATGAGAAACCTAAAGTATAAATAAATGAAAAGGCAAAATAAAAGATAATAGAAAGCAGGGAAATAGAACTTTTATAAATAGGAAGGGGACCGAGAGATGATGGAGGCATAAAAAGAATTAAGATGTATTATGTGCGTGTACTAACTCCCCAAAATGATTGTAATCATTACTAACTATAAACATGTACTAAAAAAGATAAAAATTTTAAAATATATTTTGGTCAAGATATGTTATGCGCATGTATGAAAATATCACAATGAAACCCATTACTCTAATCAATGACTAATGCAAAACAGAGCCTGATGACATATTTTAAAAGAACATTTTGGATATTCTTAAATTTGTGGATTTTTTTTTAATTTATTGGTAAATTCTAGGTAGACAGTATAGTTACATTCATTACTACGATCTTGTACCTTCACATGACAGGTCTTGGTTCTCATTTTTCCCCTTGTCCCTGCCCTCCCTTCACCCCCTCTTCCCCTCCCCACCTAAAAAGACTTTAATTCCATTTTTACATTTTCTCATATTTTTTCCCTTTCCCTTATTCCCCTTCCCCTACCCTTCTCACTGTCCCTACATCTTTAGTCCTTTTCTTCTTGTTTCACATTGCTAATTAACCCGTTAGGATCTTAAGTACTATTTTAGTTTTTCACACCAGAGAAACTATTTGGTATTTACACATGTGTGACTTATTTATTTCACTTAAGAGTATATCCTCAAAGTGTACCCATTTACCTATGAATGAA